CCCCTCCCCCCTCCCCCCCCACCCGTGGCAGGGCGCCCACCGTGAAGGTGCACTGCCCGCGAGGGGAGGCCTGGCCAGCAGAAAGAGGACTCCACTGCCCGCAACGTAAACAAGCACTGAATAAAAACTGGCGAAGGCTACCTTGCTCAATTAATCAAAATTTTTACGGTGGAAACTCAATTTTTTCAGGGTATATTTTTCTTCGCTTAATAAAATAGTTCATTTCTTTAAAAGTAATTCGTAAGCGAAGGAAATGAGGTGATCTGAGTTTGTTCCGTCTCCAGAATGAGCCCTCGAGCCCGGAGGACACGGACTCGAAACGCCTCGGCTCTGGTGCATGATCACCGCGGCTGAGCCCGGCTGCGGCACCTACTCACACAGAACGCTGGAAACTCACTGAGAGTCCTTCCTTCCGATTGCAAAGAGGGACAAGCAGAAACAAAGAAGGCTTCGGGTGGTAACACTGGCCAGACCTGGCTGCGGACTGCGATACGGGTGCGGGAGAGGCCGAGCACCCTCAGGGACGCAGCCGGTGGCGACTGCCTGGACGGCGGGGGCTGCCCCGGCGGATGGGGGTGCGAGGAGGAAGGTAGGAAGGGGGCAGGAATGTGCACTGTTCTCAGGAACTGATATGGAGATGGTAACTGGACGGGAAAGAAAAGATGTCTAGGAGTACGCGATCACACCAGACCAAGACTCAGTAGCGGTACAGCAAAGTTAAATGCTGATAAAACAACGTCACCACGTGAGGGTAAATGCGCCCCTTGGAAGATGCATAAGGGGTTAGGAACGCACCATTCCAATTCGCGCAGTTCTGGTACATTCAAAATGCGGATAGAAAGGGCTTGAGGGACAGCAGGTAAACTTCTTTATGTTTCTTAAAAGTAGATGAAATTGCTAGGTGAAAAATGCCCTGCCTACACCAAAAGGAAAGTAACATTCTTATCAAGGAGAGGCATTCAGGGTGAGGTTGCCAGGCCATGGTGGCATAAGCCTGTAATCCCAGCACCGGGGAGGCTGAGGCAGGAGGATCACAGCGACTTCAAGGCCAGCCTAGGCTACACGAGTTCAAGACCAGGCTGGACTAGACCAGTAAGACCCTGTCTCAAAAAACGAAGCTGAGGCCAAGGGAAATCTGTACAAAAACCCTTGTTAAGCCAAGCCTTACCTTCCTAGCCTCTTCTTCATCCAATTCACTACCTTTGTCTTACCACATTCTGGTTCTCTGCCCAACTCAGAGCTTAACTGTTCTATTCCAACCCACCACTGGGCTTTCATTTCCTTATGAAGGTTTCTATGCCACGTAAAACTTGTATTAAAAACATGTGCATGGGGGCTGGGGATTTAGCTCAGCGGCAAAAGCGCTTGCCTGGCAAGCTCAAGGTCTTGAGTTCGGTTGCCGGTACCGGAGAAAACCCAAAAAAAAGAAAAAAAAAAAAACATGTGCATGTATTTATTCTATTGATGCCTATTTAATTCTCAGGCCTTGCTGAAAAACTCTAGAAAAGCAGATACAAAATTTTGCCTCCATTGAAATATAAAGAAAGTGTAGAACAAGAAGTTTGTGGAATATACAGAGAACTATCTCAAAGAATAACAATCAGACAAAAACACTTCAATGGTGTAAGCAAATATAAACAGCATTTAAGAAAATGACTGTACTAGCCTCATAAAATTAATTCGGAAATAATCCTTCCTTGATATTTTGGAAGTTTGAGCAGGATTGGTCTTAATTTTTCTTTAAATGTTTGGTATTATTCATCAGTGAAGCCATTAGGTCCTGGGCTCTTCCTTGTTAGGAGACTTTTTGTTTTGTTTTGTTTTGTTTTTAGTTTTTTGTTTGTTTGTTTGTTTTCCGGTACCGGGAATCAAACTCACGACCTTGCGCTTGCCAGGCAGGCGCTATGCCGCTGAGCTAGATCCCCAGT